ACTTTCCAGGCCCCTTGTCACAACAATTCTTGGAATGATTTAAGAAAAAATATATGTGGTCTTTGGGAGTTTACAGTGGCTTATTCCTCTGTAGTTGTAAAATACTGTCCCTCTAGTGATTTCTAGTAAGGTACCTGACCTCAGGGTATTGGCCTTTTCAAAGATGGTGCTTGAACACATGAGATTATACCTAGATATAGAAATGGAAAATCCTGCCCACTGTGCTCCCTTCCTTCCAGTGTCTGGGTAGGGAGAGATGTTCTTCTTTTAATCCTTCAGCATTCGAGCTGACCACAAATCAAGGAAATTTTCCTGGACACTTTGTCTACCTCTGCATCTCAACCAAGTGTACAAGTATGGGAAGCTATTTAAAAAAAAAAAAAAAACAGAGAGAGAGAGTTTTCTGGTTATTTTTCTACACCAAATTGCAGTAATAACATGGATCGTTAAGTGGGATTAGGGATTACTGTGAAAATGGCTGGATGATTTTGATTGCTATTGTAAAGAATCTCTCCACCTTTACTAGGGGATTCCACATACTCTTTTACTGAGCACTCCAGATCTGCCCAGAGCTGATGCTGCGTGTGTAAAACACAGTTCTGCAGGTGCTGTTTACAGGGGACTGTGAAGCTCACCTCTTGATAAATACTGCTTTGCTTGGGAAGCATCCATGGTGCAACACAGACAAACATTCATACCTAAAACCAGCAGTTTTTAGAGGGGTGATGTTCTTACACATACCTGCTTCCTTTCCCTGAAGTCCTATTCTGTTCTGCTGTCACAAGAACATTGTGGAGCAGCAAATGCACGTTGTTCATGTCTTTCACCATACAGCAAGCTTGAGAGCTCTGAGAATAGGCTATTTTTGCACCATGCAAATATTCCTAAGAGAAAAAGTATTTATGATAAAGAAATGTTTGAATATATGTATTGAGCAAACGAAATACCAATTGAACAGAGAAACCTCAACGGTCAAACAAGATGTGATCACAGAATCACAGTATGAGTGAGGTTGGAAGAGACCTCCAGTTGCAGATCCATTTGTTCTGTGCTACCCTCCAAATGACATCGTGCTCGTGAGGTAAACTAATCCCTAATCCAGACCCAGGACTGCTAATTCTCAAGAAGAAAATGTCTTTACAGCAAAATCTCTGAGGAACAAGCTTTTGCTGAATCAGTCACTGAGATTATTTGGAACCTTTCTTCATCTAAAGTGGATAAGATGAGCAAAATAGTGCAGACAAGGTAGCGTTAGATAGTTCAAGTTGGCTATAGAGCCTGTAGTTTTAAACCAAAACTTTTATAGATGTAGAAATGTGGCAGGTACCCTTGAGTTTTACTGAGAATTTTAGGAGAGATTTTAGCAATAACTTGAATTTTCTTTTTTAAAAAAGAAAGAGGAAAGTCAACAAATATCTGATTTTGGTAATTATTTTAGCAACTGTCATACCCCCAGACCTTATTTTGGAAAGAGTATGTTAATACTTATGTATACTTATGTATAGTTTGCTAGGATTTTGGCCTGGTTTTTGATAAACAGATATGTCATATTAGAGTAGACCGCAGTATAAAATTCCTTTGCAGAGAGATCCAAACTCTTGTGGTTGTTATATGAATGCATGTTTCAACACATAGAAAAGGAAAGAATTCTTAACAGTGAGGGTGATGGAGCACTGGAACAGGCTGCCCAGAGAGGTTGTGGAGTCTCCGTCTCTGGAGATCTTCAAAACCTGCTTGGATGCAGTCCTGTGCCACGTGCTCTAGGTGACCCTGTGTGTGCAGGGGGGTTGGACTAGATGATCTCTAGAGGTCCCTTCCAACTTCAACCATTCTGTGATTCTATGATTCTAAGAAGAGATGATAACTGTGAAAAAAACCTTTGGGACAGTCTGGTTCTATCATCCACAGCCATAATCCATTCCATTGATTTGCCTGCTTTTTGGTTTGTACATATGAAGCCCTTTTCCCACATCTAAGTAATGTGGTTCATGCCAATAAATATTTTATCTAAGACCTTTGTGCCATAGATACAATTGAAGGCAAAGTAAGAAATGTGAAATTAAGTTTCTAAAAGTAACATTAATTGCTACTTTTTTTTCTTATGTAAGTCTTCTATTATTAAAGCTTTACAATATGTACCATAGTACGTTAGATTGCATATTTAAACAAACAGGAATATAAAATGAAAAATGTGTACAAGGTAGCCAGAAAACATTAAGATTTGCCATTGCTTTTACTTTAATTGTACAACCTGAAGGTTGTATTAACACACGATTATGCATTTAATTTTCTAGTTTGATTAAAAACAATTGCATATGCTTATTCATAGTTTAATGGTTCCAGTTGGCTCTTGAAGTCTTTCACTTCAGTGAAGCAAGAGGGCTGTGATAGACTTGAGTTCTAATCATTATTGCTCGTTTCACTTTGACCAACGATTTTTCTGCAAGCCAGGGTCAAAGAGGCTCATAGATACTGGTTTTCATAGTAAGGTTATGTCAATCTAGAATTTACCCTTTTAGAAATGAAAGCCAAGTATCTTGTTGGTATTATGCAGTGTTGCCTTTATTAAAAATAGTCTCAAGATAATGACATTTAGTATATTTATTAGCCCTTTTTCAAAATATTTGAGAAATGAATTAGTAAGTGCAGTCCAGAGAGGATTTTAGATGTCACAACTTATAGTAGATTCCAACTTGGGTTTATTCTGAAATCTTTTTTCAGTTACTTGTGCCTTTTTTGCTTTAGTTATCCCAGCAGCCAAGCGCGGATGCAGGAGAGATACAATCTTGCCAAATTTCAGTTTGGGCTGTTCTAAATGGAATTTTGTTCAAAATGTGTATGAAATTGCATTGCAATTTAGAAAAGCACAGTATCCACACTCACACAATTTAAGAAGTGTTGAAATTACTTTCTTACAGTGTAGCAGTTGGTGGAAAAAAACATAACCTTAAGACGTTTTGCCCTCTGTTCTTTCTATCCACGGTTGCACTGATTTAAACTGACATACAAGTATTTCCAAAGAAAATCTGGGAATATAATCCACTTTGAAACCAATGTAAAGAGCTCTTGCATCTGACCTGTTTTGTGCACTGGGGAGGGTGTCGCTGTTGAATGGAGCTGCCTCAGGAGGCGGCTTGGCCCTTGCTGTAATGGCCAGGGATGCTGCGCACTTTGCGGTGGCAAATGGAGAGTATCATACACGAGAGGAGCAGGAGGCTTGTTTAGATAGGCAGCACATACTGTAGTTACCGAAGTATAAATGCACATGAAAGGAGCAGATTTTTCTCAAGCTGTGTCTGCTATATACCACACGTTGTACTGAGAGAAGATTTGTGATCACGTAAAGGGTGGTAAGCAGCTCACTGCAGAAAGGGCAGGATCCATGGGAAATCAGGAGCCCGAGAAATGAGATCTTTCCAACTCACAAAATAGGAGTGTGGTAGGAGGGGAGGAACCTGCCCCACACCACGAGAGTTACTTGCTCCTAGTCCTGTGGGAATGCTGGCAGCTTGCAAAGGCTGAAAGCAGCCCTAACCCCTCACACCAACACTGCTTGAGTTGTCCATGCTCTTGCCAGAGTATGTCCCTGCAGAACAGGAGCATAATTTTCTGACTTGCCAATCCATCCCTGACCATTTCCATGCTCTTGCCAGAGTATGTCCCTGCCGCATAGGAGCGTAATTGCCAATCCATCCCTGACCATTCGCAGCAATTGTATCATCATCCAGTTCCATCCAAGGTTAAGAAAAAAAGAAAAGCCCTCACAATTCAGCTTAGAAGATTGGAAACCTGCATAGATTTAGGACAGCTAGTAAAAGCAGAGTTTGCTGGGTGTTTCAGCGTAACCTGCTCTGTGACCCTCCTTAGCTAAGAAAATCTGCTCAGATCTTCCCCTGAAGTCCCAGGAGTAGTTTCTCTCTTCCTGCTTTCATTTGGTCTCCCAGGGAGAAGCAATAGTCTCCCATGTGAGAGCAGCAAAGGAGATTTTCACCTCAAGGACATACCCTGAAAATAAATCTGAAACGCTTTTCCTTGCGCATAACCCAGCTCTTGAGGTTGAAACTGCCATTTGGATTTTTCGAGCGGGTTGTAGGAAGGTCCGGGAGCGAGTCTTTGGCTACTTTGGTCAGACCATCAAATGGCTTATGCTGTTCTCAAGATTCATTTCAGGAGCTGCAGAAATACAGGTTTAATTCTTTTATTCAAGCTCAGTAGATGGTTTGGGACAATTAATTTCCAATTGTTTCCCAGTAGAGCAGATTTACTTGTATATTAATGAGGCACAGGTGTTAGGCCCCTGGTGCCTGCATGCCTGGGAGGCATATTTAGGTTGTTTATCTAGTCAGCCATAGGTACTGCAAGGTACTCAAGCTTGCCTTTAACAGTTTATACAGTGAGGCTTTTTAATTTTTTGATGTTTTTTTAAATTTGCTAGCACCTGTTAAAATTTTAAAACTGATCATGTAGAAAGAAGTAGGAGTGATTTCAATAGTAAATAGCACTAAATGTTAAAGAAAGTCTTCTTCTATTATGCTTAACTGCCCAGCTTGACATTAGGAAGAAAAGAAGGTTCATTTAAGCAAATAAGTCATGTGAGGCACTAATACAGTCAACAGTATACTTTTCTGTTGCATATTTTTGGAATAGGTACTTCTTTGTCTACAGCTGAAACATGAATGTGCTTATATTAATATTCATTTTTCTTGTTTATTCACTGAACTGCAGTACCAACATTTTAGAGGAAATGGAATAGCCTCCATAGACATTATGAATTTCAGTAGCTGGCATAATTATAGCGATCTACATATTCATTAAATCCAAAGAAGAAATGTGTCCAAAAAGACAGCCATGCGTTCAGAAATGGTACACAACTAAATATATATGTTTAAAAAAAAAGTTCTTTTCCTCCGCTTGTCCACAGCATGTAGTGTCATATAGTCCTTAAATCAGCTAAGGCTTTTTATGGTTTAAATGCTCGTTCCTTTTGCTTTTGCATGCAGCAAAGAATGGGAAGAACTATTTGTAAACAACAATTACTTGGCAACTATACGGCTGAAGGGGATTAATGGGCAGCTGAGAAGCAGCAGGTTCCGTAGCGTTTGCTGGAAGGTAAGAAGAGAAAATATTTATTTACAGTTTGTGGTTGCAATATATCAACACATTACCTGATGCGCTGGAAGATTATTGATGCAAAGAATCATGAATTTTCCGAGAGACTTCATCCCAATGTTTTCCTACCCATTTTTGTAATTCATAGGACATTTGCTAATCATATTGAGTTGCCTTAAAGCTGAATGGCTGGTTTTAGCGAAAGATTCCTAGGAAAGAATATCTTTGTGTTGGCTTAAATAAAATTGAGTGCAACACAGTCATATCTCCTATTGGTGTTGATACATAGAAATCATGCACTGGAAATAAAAAAGAAAGTTTGTCTTAAAATTTATGTTTTGTGGAACTTGGGACTGCGTGGGACATGCTGCTTCTGTTAGCAGCTTTCTGTGAGCAGTAATGAGAAAATTAGGACTAATGTCTTTTTTAATGACTAGATAGAGAAAGAAACCAGGTCTCCCAATCTTAAAACACAACAGGCCCTCAGAGGTTTCCGTTGCAGGAGAAAAGGGAGGAAGAAAACTGAATAATAATGAGATGCTGTATAAAGTCCTGCAGAACTTTGTTGCACTGACATCAGGTGTCCTGTCCCTCCTCAACTTGCATAGTAGGGAACATCTTATCTTTGGAAGTTGCAATATGTGAATATCGAGGATTTAAATAGCCTCTCTTGTAAATTCTCAGACTTGACATTGGCATGAAGACCTCCAAATATGCTCCATATATGAAAGAAGCAAATTTGAAAAGCTGAATGTATGTAGCACTGAACACATTCAAAGTTAATGAAAATCTTGTCTACGGGAAGCCAGATTAATATATGTCACAAGCATATTTGGAGTCTGTGCCTTCCTGAGTCCTTAAAATAAGGTGCCTAAGATCCCATTCAAACACCTGAACTAACAGCAGCGAGTCCCACGCTGCCTAATAATTAAATCAAGCAGTGTTTTTGCTCTCAAAGCGAGGATGGTTTATTTGTGTCCCAATATGGAGTAGAGCTCTGTTTTTGACTGCCTATTTTTAAAACGTTGTCAATGTTTTCATTAAGTTCTGAAATAATTAAGTGCTTTCACTGAATTTGGAAATGCTTGTTGTTTGGCAATGTTTCCTATTTCATAACTTTTTATAATATATAACTAAAAAGATTTATTTAGAAAGCAAGAAAATACACTGTATTTTTTCTGTATCTTGTATACGGTTAAATGGTCTTCCCGAATGGGTGTCTGTTTCTGACCCTGCTCAAACAGAGATATAAACCATTGAGATTTACATTTCCTCAAGGGCTTTTTGGAAAATTGAGTCTCTTAACTGTCTCACAGAAGTCTAGAACCTGTTTCTATTCTATAGAAAAGGTTTTCCTCATCCACATTTCTTAGATAATCTCTGAGTGGTTAGTTTCTGCTCTGCATTCATATTTGGTTTTAGGCATATTGCATCAGGTCATCAATGTTACAGAAACAATTCCAAGTTTTGTATATTGTGTATAAAGCTTTAGTTTGTGCCTTTGGTAGTTTTTTAATGCTTTACGATGCGCTGTAGGACTGTAATGGTTTCTAGCTTCTTATTATTGATTAGCAAGTCTTAATGCCAGGATCATTTTGTAGGTCTTTGCGTCCTGTTCCTCAGTTGTACAGTTGTAAAATATTTGCTTCTCCATATTCTGAGATGGTTTGCGCATGAAAAACTCTATTAAACTGACTAAACTTGACTGTTTTATTTTGTTTTGTTAATAGTTATTTCTAGAGGTTTTACCCCAAGACAGAAGTCAGTGGATTAAAAGCACTTCCGAATTAAGAACATCTTACAACAAGATCAAAGAGATTGTAAGTTGGTACAAAATAAGGTCTCACTCCAATGGCTGGATGTAGATATAATACTTGCAGTGTAATGGAAGAAAATTTGAAATGGAAACACTGCTCTTTTTTCTTTTTTTTTTTTTCCCAGCATATTACAAACCCACGGAAAGCGGGACAGCAAGACCTGATCATCAACAATCCTCTGTCTCAGGATGAAGGTGTAAGTTGACTCCTATTTTCATCAATATCTGTGTTACTAAAATTCTCATCATTATAATCATGTTGATGAAAATGAAGTCTTGATGAAGAAGACAAAACAGTGGATATTAAAGTCTCACTGCCCTATTTCCAAACTGTCTTGTGTTAACAAGCAGCTCACAAGCCGTGGGCAACCAGAAATGCTCATTTTTAGTTTAATATTCTAGTTTAATTTTGGTTTGTTTGTTTGTTTTTATTTTTTCCGGTGCTTCCAGAATGATAATAATGAACAAGAAACCCATACTGGAATATTGTTCCAGTTTTACAGAATTTCCTTCCTTTAACTGATCAGTTCATTTATTGCTGTGTGTTTTCATTTTAAGAATACATGTTTAGGAATATATAAACAGCACCAAATAGTATACTGTTTAACCTGAGAAGTTTTCACTAGCAAAAAAAAAGAGCACTGTTGGACATCTGACTACTATGCAGGTTGAGTGAATGTGGAAAGTCCAGGCTACAAAATAATCATTTCCTCCAGGTTTTTAATTCTTCTCTTGTAACATTTGTTAAAAGACACAAGAATATCCAACAGTTATAAAAGAGCAACCAGCTGCAAAATGACAAATTTTCAATACTGGAAATGTGGCAAAAATCTTCTATCTGATTGTCCCTAAGTGCTGGGTATCTAGCACTTACTGAAATTGATAGGAGCTCCATGTAGCTTGGTATTCTAGAAGTGCTGCCTCTTTGGTATTTGGCACTATGATTAGGCTTTAGGTATAGATTTAGGAACTTAAGCAACTTTTTTATTATTTTTTTTTTTGAGAGAGAGACTGCGGTTTGAACTACATTTGACTTATACTGGGAGCATCTTAAGTATGCTATAGCATACACTTTCAAGCTTTTCTGCTAATTATCACTTTGATCTCTTTTTACTATTTCAGAAAATCCTGCTTTACCATATTGTAAAAATAACTTGATACCATGCAAATAACTTTTTTGATTGAATTTAGGAGATTTACACCAAAAGAGACTTTCACATAAATTGAAGCGTATAATTGGTTTGTGTTTATTGCAGTGCTCTGCTTCACGTTTAATGTAAAAGGAGAAGTGTTTGAGTGGCTCTGCTTGTAGGAACATGGAAGTGCTCATTACAGGCATGTTTGTGACTCTGCAGCTAGTATGACTCCACACACTGTCAAACCATCCCTGCATCCAAATGAACAGAGTTGTCTCAAATGCAGAAGATTTAATTTTTTTCTGCTGTAGTCTATGATTGTACACAATATTACAACCTATTTCTGCCTATGATGTTTTCACAGGCTGTAGGTTGAAATGTCAGAGTATGTGGCAGTTAATTAACCTGTAGAACAGCACAAGAGACCAAGCTGGGCACAGAAGTGACGAGCTAAGTGCCTTTGACCCTCTGCAATGATTTCATGTTTTGCCCTTTTATAGTGTCCTGGGATTTACTTCCCTTTTGGCACCTAAGAGTCCATCTATCTTCTTGGTCCTTCACTGTGAAGGACCAGCAGGGGAGAGTTGGTGTTTGCAGTTTTCAAAATGTGACATAGCTGCCCTAAAAGAGCTATAGGTAAGATCCAGTGTATCTTAAAGCAGATAAAAAGGTATTGGTTTTAAGTGAGACATTGTCAAGGGTGTAAATAAGCCACCATGCTTAAGCCACCATGACAATAAATTGTTTACAAGGGAGCTATAGATTTTGGAAGTATTGCAGCCACTCCCTTCCTATGATATTCCATTCGCTCCTGCTGCTATCTGAAAACTAACTTAAATGAAACGACTGCTAAGGATTATATTCCTTCTGTATTTTGATCAATATTGCCAAGCTATTCCTTTATTGCAAAGAATAAGCTTTACACAACAGTTTCCTTAACATTACCCTAATGTGATGGCATAGACTGGAACATTTAAATAACATTTACTGACTTTATTCAGGTTGGCTTCTGCAAAGTGTTGGTAAATAAGGCATGTTAGCCAAAAAAAAAAAAAAGAATGGAAATGGACAAATCCACAGATATAGAAGAAGATAAATCTGCTTTGAATCTATTATTTAATTTGAATGTTGATAATGAACTTTAAATACTCCAGTTTTCTATGTAAGAGCCTTTCGATAAAGACCCATCTTGATTTGCGCTGTGTATGTGTACTGTTAGAATGGCGTGATTTTCGTAATAGGTATTTAATCATCATACATTCCATATTTGAATTTGCCTCCACTAAGGCAAACTTGCTTTCTGGCAGTCAAACACACTATCTTGAAACTTCTCACTTCTAAGTAGAGCCCATAAGTTTGTAGGAGAAATGTGCATCGATGTGCACTTTTTCCAGTGAACTACTGATTTTTTTCAGCTGAGGTGTTGATCCATGTAAGCTTGAATTTACCTCACTAAATATTGTCATAGATCCCGTACAAGAAATGCACAGACCTGAAGCCTTCCACTGAGTGAAGGGTGTGAGTGTGGAACCAGGATCCAGAAAGTCGCATGTTTTTATCTCTGATCTAAATTGACAGTAGATTTAAGCCTAGTTACAAATATTCTTTTTCACCTATAAAATATTGATATAGCTATCAACCAGGGATGCTGCAAATTAATTAGGTAATATTTCCACAGTACTTTGGTATTGCAGTATATAAGCCCTAAGTATTACTAGAAGCCTCTAATTCATGCAATTATTTTCTTTATTTCAGAGTCTATGGAATAAATTTTTCCAGGATAAAGAGCTTCGAGCAATGATTGAACAAGATGTGACAAGAACGTATGTAGATCTTTCTAAAGAAATATCCATATATAAATTTTGATCCTGCATTTTTATATGGTGTATACTATATTTTGTTTTGTTGAGTTCAGTTAGTGTAAATGTCAGGATTGTTGAACATTAATGTGTAGAAACATGCATTTAATGTATAGCAAGACAGCTTTCTTGGAGTGAAGAAGTGGAAAATTGCATTAAACATAAACCCTGGAGATTTATTGGTATCACTGGAGAAAAGCTCCTTTAAATTAAAATATTAGGAAATGTATTACTTATTGAAAATTAAAATAGAGTTTTCTATGTGAAACAAAGAGAAAGTAAGAGAAATTCAAGGTTTTAAAGTAAATTATAATTATAGTAAAAGATTGAACAGATGAGTTTCTGTAATTCTTTACACTTATTCAATCAATAATACGAAAATAGTGTTTAATTAGTGAGAATAATGTCATTCATCGAGAGAAGTTAAGCACTTCTATTTTTATTTATCATTTTTCTAGTGTTGTTTGTCACATATGCCTTTTAAAATTTGTCCTAATATTGCTATGACTATCCTTTCATCTTCTTGGCCCTTAGGTCATTCCTGTTTAGGAACTTAGGCATCTGAGTTAGAACACTCAGTTCCTGCAAATATTTCTTTTCAGAGCAGAAGCATTGACTGTGATGTGTAAATCTAATTAAATTCAATTATAGTTTTGCTAACATGTGACATTTTACTGTATTGCAAATAATTTTTCTTATAACTTGGAAAAAGTGGTGATAGCCATAGAATTTAAAAATGCCAAGCTCACACATTTTCATTTAAAGAAACAAAGTCATGCAGAAGAAATCATTGCTCTCTAGTTTTGGAATATTTTATATGTCCGTCCCTAGACCCATTCTTGAATGCATTCTTGCAGTGAGATGTGTAATTAAAATCTGAGTATACTTTAATGTGCATGCTCACAGATGGTATTTTTTTGTTTGTAAAAGGAACAGTTCAGGATGTTCTAAGATTAAAATATATACATATATAAACTGTAATTGGAGAATGAAAATTGATATAGAAGTTCTGCTGGATATAAGACTATTTACCTAGATATATACGAAATACAGGCTCTCACTGTGGCAAATGGCAGAGTGTATGCACTTTAGAAAATAGCAGGATGCATCATGGGTCACATCAAAATAAGTTAGACAATGAAAAAGCAAGATTTTTCAGGCTAACGTGAATTTATTTCATTTTACAAACTTTCATTTCACAAAGCGAATTTACGTACTCACACGTCGCTTGATTAATCATGAACCATATAGCATGCACTTTATATATATATAGGTATCTGTTTGCAAGTTAGCATTAGAGTAAGAAGCAGAAAGTTCTACATTCCTTGACTTTGGAATATAACTATCTTGTCCTTAAGGTTGTCTTTTCCATTTCCATTCTTTATATAAATTCCTAGTGTTGCAATTTAAAGATTTGTCATTAACTTACAGTGCATTATATTTGAGTTTAAAATGTTCAGATTGCTTAAGTATATTCAATTATCATCTCATAGTCATCATAATCTTCTGTTTCTTATTTAAGGAATATTTTATACTGTATTTTTATACAGTATACTGTTTATACTGTTTACACTTCTATTTAATAATCTCTCTTTTTTTTTCTTACTGGATGATAATTGAGAGGTTCAGACAGAATTTCTTTCAGCAGTCCAGAAGCATGAATTTTGGGGTTAGAACCAAATATAGTCTGTTTCTATCTCAAGTGAAAGCTTCTCAAAATCAGGCTGTGAGAGAGGGTTTTATTATGAAATTAGAAGTCTTACTTCAATTATAGTTTAGCAATACCAAACAAGTTATATGGCTGTATTCTAGCACTTTACTCAGAAAGGAATTTCTGTTTGAATTAGCAACACAGTAACTTGTAGTACATGTAAGAACACAGTGATTAATTATTGTCTTTCCAAAGAGGTACCAAAGATGAGAACAAAGCTGATTATGTGCTAATAATTAAAAAGGTAGCTGATAAAGAAGAAATTTTGTGAGTTTTCTGCTGGAATAGCAATCTGCTGCAATGGAATTGCATCTAGCTACCAGCCAAATCAAAACACCACTCTGCTTGCAGCATCATCTTTTGAAGTTGGGATTTGCAAATGGCCGTGTTTGATGTAGGACTTATAGGTTCTCAGTAGACTAACTCGGAGGCAGGGGTGGTCTTTGGTGATGGTCTGTGTGTATTATTCTAGCCTGTTTCTAATTCAGGAGCAACAACGGCCCTATAGGAAAGGGGAAGACATGATCCTGAGAAGCAGTGGTTGCACCTGTTTAAACACTCTATTTCCCAGATTTTTTTAAGAAAAGGGGACAAAAGGCGTAGAGGGACCATTAGTCATCTACATCTGTCTTCCTAGAAGAAGATTGGGAAGACGTAAGAAGAAACAGCAGTCCGCGGAGTAAGAACCCAAGGGACAAAATGTAGTTTCCAAGTAAGAGAAGAGACTGCCAGAAGGAAGAGCTACCTTTTTATGCACTTGTGCATAAAGAAAAAAGGGAGCTGCAGTTTATTTCTAAAGATATTGTCTTCTTGACAAAGTTTTACCTTGCTGAGGAGCAGGGATAGGGAATGGTGCGGTAAAATCTGAGGAAATTGAGGAATCTGAGGAAAAATGAGGCAAAGGCAGGTCACTCCACAGCAGTGATTAAGAATCTCCTTCAAGTCTGTTACCAGACATGTTTTTTAAAAGTGTTTATAGGTCCTTTTCTTTGATTGCCTTTTGTGTCAACATTTGACTGTTAGTGGTCTAGGGGCCCCTAAAAAGCCTAATCTTTTAAAAAATAACTAATTCATGCTTATCTTAACTTTCAGAAATCAGAGACTTGAATGCACTTTTGTTTGATTATAGTAGATGTGGTAAAACATCCTGGTAAAATTCCCATTTTCTTATGCAGTTTTTCTCCAAGATGTAATTAAATGTAATATCGTAGTATTCTTGAAAAAATGTTTTACCTTACCTGATTTGAGGCTAGTGTATTTCTAAAGCAGTGCTTTAATTGTAGAATGACATTTTTCATGAAAATCCTTCCTGAACTGATAGTTCCCTCATGGTCTCTTGTATTTACATTATTATAATTAATACTTCAGCCAGCTTATTTCTTGAGTTCATTATTATCCTTCCTGTCACAATCTCTGGTATTACAAGATTCTCACAGATATTCTGTGTATTTTTGAGTTTTCTTTGTTAGTCTTCTTTTCCTGAACTTCACAGGGCAGGACTGAATAACAGTCCTTCAGAAATAATCTCTTCAAACCCCTAAATTATGTCGATTGCCATCTGCTGTAATGCACCTTTCTGGTCTCAGCTGTGTCCTTCCTTTACAGTAATATGATTACTACAAGTGCACACAAGTTTCCAAATGCTGGTCTACCATTACCCCATCAGGTGCCAGGAAAATGATGCACTGTTCATCCAAATGCCTTTCTCAGTACTTAAATTTTATTCTGTTTAAGCCATAGTGGCTTCTCTCTGTTGACTGTGGAATAATGCCTTTCATCCAAGGATTTCAAAGCGCGTTTCTAGCTTTACCTGTCGTTATCTCAGTAATAGTTAACACAAGTAGTTTGTCTCAGGCTATTGATCATATTTTATTACTTTGTTTCTCTGAACAGGCTTTACAAAGCCTTGAGATAACTGAAGTTTACCAATGTAGCTTCCACACTTTGGAAGCAGGCAGGACAAAATTTCCTTTAAAAAAGCTTAGCTGTGATCCATATGACCTCATTTTAGTGCCGACAATGCTGTAACCTTGGTTTTAGCAAACTAGCCTCAGGCATACAGGTGTTTTCTTTCCAAGTGTTCTTCTGTTTCTCTTTGTCCAACCTTACCTTTTCCTTTCTTTCTGGAACTCTATCATTCTACTTACATTTTATTTTCCTTTTTTATTGTTCCACATAGTTGGATGTGCTTTTGGATGGTTACTTTTAAAAATGTTTCCTACCATGTAGTTAAGCCTTGGTAAGCATGAAAACACTTGTTTGTGTATTAGTATATTAAAGTAAATCTATAAGCAGCTTATTTCTTACTTTCTACCGGCAGGTGAGGAGGATGCAGAGGTGAGAGTTATATCAGAACAATTACAGATTCTTCATATTTACATTTTCCTGGATTACATGCAGATAACATGATTTTCTCAGATGTTTTTTCCTCTTTTTCTCACACTTATTCCATTTTATTCTGTTTCACTTAGTGGATATTTATTCTGTGAAAGTCTCAAATGATTTCCTAATTTTTGGTTTTGTTTGGGACAGCCACTAATGGCAGTGAAATGCCTAATTATCTTAGCAAAAGATGTCAATAGGATACGTTGGAGCCTGCTTAGAGCTCAAGAAAATTAGGATGCCTATTTTCATGTTAGTTGTGAGATATTTCAATAATGCAGTTATTAAAATGCTAATATTTTTTTCAAATATTAATGAAATATTGAACCCTTGTGTATATTCTTCCTTTGACATATCCTTCATTTTTTCTGTTTGGTTCTTTTCAGACTACTTAACATATTGTAGTTGTTATCCTCTTCATAGTAGCTTATTTTGCCCATCTTTTATCTGGAGAAAAAATGAAGAGCAGGACTGTTCTTGAAACTGCAGGCCAGATTGATGATCCAGTTAACAGTTGTCAGCCTAACACAAATTAAAGAATGCAAGCATGTCATGCAAAGCGTGTTTTTATCTCGGTGAGATTTGATCTCCAATGCTTGTTTTTCCAGTACCGGAATCAGTAGTTAACTGTTTGCAGCAGTTCTGGTTTTAACTCTTTTTTGTCTATTGTTTGTTTTCAATCCCCCTCCATTTTTTAAGTATTCCTTGGCACATTTCAGCTTCTTTGGTGCAGGGCTGATAGTGAGCAGAGCACTGCCTTGGAGTTACTGATCGGGCTGCTGGGCCACCCGGGACCACCAGGACAACCTTCTGGGTTGCCAGGTTGGACAGGAAGCATCTGTGTGCCGGAAGGAGAGGGTACATCTGAGCTTCAGTCACTCCCTCTCATCTGCCTCCTTTCTCTTTTTCTATTTGGCAAAACTTGTTTTCATGACAAGGACTTGGAGGAGCAAAGTAACTTGATCCTTTAGGCAATTAGGAATATATACTCAGATGGTACATTGCCTTTTTTGGACTGTATTCCTCAAGTCAGTCAGACTTTCATCACGCTGGCTGTTTGTAAAAGTTGGTATTTACAACAATGTGCCATTTTATGTCATTCTTGCGGAGGTCTAGTATTCCTTATGTTAAAGGGCACTATGCATTTAAAAAAACCTGGCAATATCATAAAGGTGTAACAGACTGATGTATATTAGAACATGGTTCCAAATTTTATTTATAAAACAAATGTGACATGTCTTTAGAAGTATTCCACCAGCACCCATTCCATTCATGGAGAGATGGGAAAGCAGAAAAAAAAAAAAAAAAGAAAAAAGAAAAGTATTGCCCTAGCTATCTGTCTGTAGCAGATCAGTGACAAAGTTTTTGTGAGCTATGTAGTTTACCTTTGCTGCATTTCTTCCCTTTCAGGTTTCCTGAAATGCAGTATTTCCAGCAAGAGACTGTGAGGAAAATTCTTACAGATGTTCTGTTTTGCTATGCCAGAGAAAATGAGCAGTTGCTTTATAAACAGGTAATGAAAATACTGTACAGGTGGCATTCATTGAGTCAACATTTTCTGTACAGTTTTACAAATGATTGAGCAATAATGCAGTTCTGTTGTATCTGAAGTTATATCATACTGCGAAAGTAATCAGAGAGCTACTTCTCAGCTGCAAGAAAAGTAAGGTCATGGAATAACATATGCTTTTTCCTTATAAGACGTTCCCTCAAATTGTTTCCTGTAAGGTCAATGAGTTGTCTAACTTTGAATTTCTATAGAAAGTACATCTTTTTCTTCAGCATCTCTTCAGCGATGGTTTAAAAAAGAAGGGGGCTTTGTGTGTTTCAAAGAAGAAAGAAAGAATGCAGCAGGATGCCACTGAATAAACAACAAATAGTGTTTTTTGAAATTCAGACAAACTTCAGGATTTGAAGTTTTATGTGCTATTTTAAGTTCTTTCTCAAAGTGCTAAGGCCACACTGTACATTAAGAAATGGATCCCGTAGGATCCAAATACAATGCAGTGAAAAAGTTTCTCCTGACTGAAAAATAAGGGGGCAAGCAAATACCTCAGATGGAAAGCCTGCTCAAACTATTTTTGTTAAAATGGCAAAGATAGCCTTAAAGCTGCCCTAAGTATGCATCCATATGGGATGAAGATTAAACATTTGTTCTGAAGGTTTTTAATCAAGTATAAATTTGATACTAAATTCCCGTAGCAAGGCCAATATGCAGAGCTGTAAACCAAAATATATCTGTATTTATGATCCCCGGTTATTAACTGTAGTGAGACTGGAGACTGATAGATTGAGGGATCTGTGTGCCTAGACAAAGACTAGCCTGTAGAGCAGCAAACTTTAGGTAGACTTTTTTTTTTTTGACAAAAAGTACGGTGATTCAGTAAATATATATATTTTTATAGCACATTGTGTGCTTTCAGGCATGGTCTGTGACCACCATGTCCTCAAGCCAGGAAGCTGGTTGCATTTCTTGAGAAGATCAGCACATATGAGTTGAAGGAACAGTTACTTCTGAAAAAACGTCTTAGAGATAATGCCAAAAATCAAATACGTAGTTAGGAAAATATTGGATCTCCATCAGCTGTTTCTTTTTCATGTTTCACAGACTGTGAGCAAGGAATAGTCCTGCACTGCAACCACAGAAAAGATGAGGTGTGTGACGAGCTGTACTTTGAAGGGCACTGCTAAAGAAAACACTTGAGCAGTATTCAGCCTCCCTTTTCTAGTGAATATAGGCCAGAGTACTGATGATGGGAAAACGGAAGAACACATTCCAGCTAATTTAGTCTATCATTTATTGAACAAGAAGTATTATTTTTCTCTTTGATATGACTTAAAAGGACTTAATTACCCTCTGCTCATATTTAAAATCCTCTAGGTTCCTTACCAAGAAATAATACCTTTCTACATAAGGATGGAATATTTAGCTAGATCAAATTTAACAAAAAAAAAGCCCTGAGTTTCATCACAAGCTGTTAAAGCTATTATTTTGTACTAGGTGACACCCCGTTTAACATAGACCATATTGTTAATAGTTATGGGATTTTATTGAATTAATGAGACTGTTATCATGTAGTAGAATGTCTTGCTGAGTTAATTGAAACTGCAGAGATTATATAAATGGTATTAATGAACTTTGACTGCCTGATGCCTCAGCTTTAATAAAGACTGCTTGGTGGGCTAAATGAACATAGGCAGATAAAAGAACAGGTTCAATTTTGCAAGCCTACAGGCTGTTGACAAAGAAAACTTCTTCACCTCTGCTTTTGGCTACTGTAGCTTGAGTAGTGCAGCAGTTTGTTGAGAAGGTTGCCACAGGACTAAAGAGATGAGTATAGTGCAGAAAATGAAATAAATTTGGATGATGAAAAACTGTTGATTTAATATTTCTGATGAGTGTTCAGTATGTGATCCAAGTCTGATAGTATATCTCTCTGTATATACCATTTCTTTCATATCCATCAGTAGTAAGTTAGCAGGAAGTAGAGGAATCAGGTGATTTGTGGTGGAATCAGGACTTTTTTTTTTTTCTCTTTTATTCAATACGTATGCTGTGGTCAGGATTCTAGTCCTACCAATTTTCGTCATTGACTCACTTCTAAAAAGCCCCTGCTACAACAAAGCATAGCATTTTTCTTGAAAGTAGAGGTTGCTGTTAATTCATCAGTAATAGTCGCCCCTAAGCTGCTGTCTCTACAGTGACATGAATACAAAGCCTAACATAAGATGTTTGTCTTCATGTTCAGTATCCATAATGGAACTAGTCCATTAGAGAGATTTCCTCTCTCTTTTTGTTTGTAAGCTCCAACAAGAGTTACATTTATCAGAACAATTCTAAGATCTAGCCAATAAATGAAAGTCAGTACTTCATTTGCCATCATATGTACAGGACCTGGTGTTTCTCTTTTAAAATATTTGAAAAACTTCTAGTTTTGTGACAGTTTCTATCCTTATAAATGTAAATAGAATGTAACGGAGATTAATTTATTGAGAGAGACTTATTATTATGAAAGAGCATCAGCATATATTCTCACAGGAAGCAACCAATATGTTTATTTAATATGTATATATGCATAAAAGTTGTCTTTGTAGTAGGCTTTCTGTTTTTTGACCAATGCAGTGTAACATCTTATTTGGTTGGCAAAAGATACTTCTGTCCCTTGTCAAATGGAGCGGAATGTTGTTAAGCTGTGCAACAGATTTTAGAGACTGAATCCTCCCTGGGTTACTTGCATTTTTAAATAGCAGTTGTAAATATAAAATCTAAAGAGAATAGTATATTCTACTTTAAAATATGTAAAATTACTATTTGCATTCTTCTGCAAGACTGGTGCCAAAATTCTGGCTCTAGTTACAGTGAAAGGAAGTAGTGGCAATTAAGTTAAATCATTAGGCTATTGTTCATGCATAATTTGATTGTCCTTAGAGAAGTCAATATAATTTTGAAATGCATTGATTCACATTTCATTGTAGAAATGCTGTATTTCTGTTTTTCTTTCTGAACCCTAGACTGCGTTATGAAATCAATACTTTGTTGTAGCTGGGAAGTGTCAAAAATTATCTGAGTTCTGTCAACTTATTTATTAACACTAAAGAGTTCTAGTAAACTGCAGCATTGAAAAAATATGTGTATGTATATTACACTGGTGGCTTTTCTTGCCAAGCTAAAAATCTCTAAACATTTGAAGTATTCTTGTAACTGAAAGATCAGAGGTATCTTTTTGAAATCCTGGTATTTCATCATCTATTTGTTTTGTTTTTGTTGTTTGTGGGCAGCCACATTATGATTCTACTTTATTATAAAGTTGATATATTATTATGTCGAAAGAATGTATGATTTGCTTTTATCTTTTATAACTAATTCTTATTTTATGTCCTCTTTCTTTTTCTTCAGTTTGTATGTTTACAGCTTAGGTAGCAGTTTTATTAGATATTCAGGTTTTTGGCATCCCATTTCCCTTATTTCATGCTCATATATCAGGGTGAATACACAATTAGACTTGAGGCTGTTAATCAACTGATGGCTATGAGTATGGATGAAAGTGCAGCACATTATCTACAGTTTATTTAAGTGATTTTGGCAGTTCTATTTTTCTCCTAACTCTGGACCAGAGTCTCATCTTAGTATGACCACAAGACATTCAGAAATTTTGTTGTCAGTTTGTGTCAACCAGTGAACTTTGGTTTTAATCTTTTACTGTTGTTTTTGTTTTATTTCGTTTTTAGCCTTTTAGGCTTCTATTTAGCCTTCATAATCAGAAGGGAAAGAAAATAACCCAAAACTTAAGTAGTTTTGCTGCCATTAGCTTTGCCCAGTCAACTCACTCCACTATTGTTCCAGCCCTGCACTTGAGACTAAATCTCAGGAAATTTGATTTTCGTTCCCTCAGAATTGAGTCAGCTGCTATAAATTGATATTATGCAGAGATTTTTCTGAGCACCTTTTTTCTTTCCCCCCAATACTGCTACAGATTGGAACTTCCTCTTGTGAACAGAGGAGGTTCACTAATATCCTTCAGAACACACTCAAAATAGATGAGCACCTAGAGAGAGCTTCCACGTCTATCTGGGTCCTCAACAAACAATATTCTCTCTGCTCAGTTTGGATTACGAAGGAAAATCTCCATTATTTCCAATAAAAGTTAAAGGATTTTTGTACTAATGGTGTTGTATGGTGCTTTTGATGAAGATATGCTTACTGAGCTTGAATACTCCTCAAATGCTACATGGAATATGACAATATCCCCAGAATCCCCAGACCATTGCAAGTCTCCAAACCCGAGAGCACCAGGCCATGTACCCGAAAGGACTTTGGCTCACATGGTCTGGTGTTCATCCCTAAAATCCATCATGCATCATGCTCTGTCAGTCCCGTGGCCTTGCTTTCAGCTGTTTCTGGCCCAAACATTTTTGGTTTTATCCTTCCGGCAGCTTTTTATGCCTTCAGCAGAGGTGTTTATTGCTGAGATAAGCCATCCTCTTACATTTGACAGGCGTGACTATCCCTGTGAGTAGGCCTGAACATGGAGGGCTTGAGGACCCTGAGGGAGAGGAGGGAGGATGAGCACCTGGCCTCTAGGAGCTTCATAGCCGTGAAGCCCTCACACAGATACGCTGGGGAAGCAGCAAGTTGGATCCATGAGCTTGTGATATGTTCACTGCTCACTTCTGTCTGTCATGGAAAGGCTTGGAAAAGCAAGTGGAGAGGCTTCCTAGGTTGGAAATGCCATCACGAGAGCAGACCAGCTCCTCTCTGGGGGCAGCCATCCTCGGGCTCCCAGCAGCAACCTGAAATGCCATGAGTTTGGTGGGCTACCCCACGTCCTTTCTGCCAACAGGACTGACAGGATGGTCTTACTGACACCCCAGCTGTCCAGCAAAAGCCCCTGGAGTTGAGACTGAACCAGCTCTAAGTGGATTTGGAGGTGGCCGAAGGCTTTGAGGCTGATGTGTGGAATTGCCACCTGTCTGGCATAATCCCCATACGCAGGCGCTGCCAGCCAAGGAGGGCAGCTGCAACCCCATATCCCTTCCATCGGTGACAGGCTTGCTCCCTATTTTTGCAAGGCTAATCCCCATCCCCAGCCTGTGTTTTCTGTAGATTCTGTCCACCTCCTGGTCTGTGACCGAGAGCCAGGCTCTCCTGGCACATCCAGATATGCCAGCTGGGATGCCCCAGTTCCTTCTTTTCCCAGGGTGATCGTGGGGAGGGTGCTGAATGTCTCCCGCACACGAGGTTTAGCTCTGCAGGCTGTAGCTTTCCCTGTGTTGTTTTGGTGGTGGTAGCAATTGGATTGCTTTTTTCCTGAAGGAGTTACTCCTGCTTCCCATAACAAATTGAGAAACCCCAAGTAAGTGAAGGTAAATAATCTTATTTTGTTCCTGGTGAGCTAGCCCCTCAGTGGAGGTACCAGTGACTTGCCTGGATGGCCCACCTGTACTTCTAACTCCGGGCCAAGATGAATCCTCCACTGCCCACCAGTTGGCAACGTTTTTTTTTGTTGTTGTTGTTGTTTTTTTTTTTTTTTTTTAATTCGTGCATGTTTTTACGTGCTATTTTGGAACATTAGCAAGTTTTCCTATGTGTTGTCTTATAATGAATTTTTTCTTAGTATTGACATAATTAAATTTTTTTTTTTTAAAAAAAAAGCAGAAAGCCCTTTTTATTTCTAGTATCCATAGGAATGGAAGTTTCATTTTCTAATTTCCCAAATAGCTGCCTTTGTCTCTTCTGAAGGCTACTGTTATGCTGGTTTTGGAACATTATCAAATAAAAAGTAATTTTAAATTTCATAATTTGTCCTTATTGCAGATCTTTGTACTGTGGATCATGATTGTAATTATCATAAATAAAATTCATATTTATGAACATAGATCTTGGAGTAAACTGCCAGGTGCAGAGTTGCCTACCATAGCCAATTTGTTGTCTGCTATGTTAGAAAAGGGGAGAATGACTTGCTTCCCGTATATTATAGAAGAATAAACACTTAGATTTAATCAGAATTTAAAATAAAAGCCATTGATTATGAAACCATTCTGTTAAGAATGTGAATGCTCATGCTTTTACTTAGGTTGCAGCTAATGTTGCTGTCTGCCTGGTTCTGAGCATTATGAGCTGCTGAATGAATGAAAATTCTCCCTGTACTTTTGTTTTCCTCCGTGTTTAGGGGATGCATGAACTTCTGGCTCCCATTGTCTTTATCCTGCATTGTGACCACCAGGCTTTCTCACATGCCAGTGAAGCTGCGCAACCAAGGCAAGCACTCTTCTGTTTGTATCATGTTAAAATCCTTTTTTTTTTTAAGTACATACATGCATACATACATTGATATGTAATATATATATAACACATATGTATTTATCCTCATAGAAGATAGGTGTTCTTTAATTCTTTGTTCATAATTAATGAGTTCTTACCAGAAATAGTTGCATCATTCTGCTTCTATGGGAGAATCTTTGTCTCACCTGCCATGTCACAACTTCTGAAGCGAGGCTTAAAATGTAGAAGTTGGCCACTTCACAGATGTTAGCCAGAGAAAAATGGGAAGACAAGAAACCTAAAAGAAAATATTTATGAAAAGACTTACCTATCTACTATTTCACTTTATTGTGCTTGCCTGAAATGGTTTAATATTTGTCATAGCTGAGGGGGGGCAAACTCGAGAAATAGAGTCAGTGCGTATATTACCAATGTTTTTTGTTTCATATCTTTAAAAAATCAGTGTATACAAAATGTTGTGATTGATGCTTCGTTCATCATCTGTAACATTGTAGCTGCAGTACATGGCTATCACTTGACTTTGTAATAACACTAATTTTAGGTACGGATTATCCATTTTATTCAAATAGTGTGTGTAGTTATATATATGTGTGTGTGTGTACACATCTCTGTGTGCATATAGTTATGCACATATAGAAAATACTACATCACACGTGATTTGTGTGTCAACCCAAATCACATCCTTTTTTTTGGCCTTTCATACAAAGCTTTTAATTTTTTTAAGCATGACTGAGCCATTTGTAGTATTTAAGCCATTTCTTTTCATTTATCTTTTTGCATTTGCTTTTTAAAGTCCAGCAATGATTAGAATCCAATTTAATTATGCTTGTCTTTGATAACCTCTTTTAGCACCCCTCATGGAGATTGTCCAAAGACAGTGTTAGTGTAAGGATGGAGTTTATTTACATGTTTGTTTTTATTCGTTACATCCCCTGAATTGCCTACACATTGCTCTTTGGTGGAAAGTAACACAAAATAACCATGTGTATTGTAGAGCATTCTGTTCCAACCTCCTCTGAAAAAGTGGAGCTAAGCAGCAAAGTAGATGGAAAAGAGGTGCTGTCACTGATTAATTGCTGTTAAAGTACAATAAAAATACAGGCTATTAAAACAAAATAAATTAATGTTTTGATACTGCATATTTGACCGTTAACCATATTTTTTTTGTTTTGGACAAACAGTGATAGATTGTGCAGCAATCAATTATTCTAGATCAAGCATATTCAAATAATACATTGTGACATTCAGTAATTTGTTATTTGGAATAATTAGATGGTTACTTCATTGTAGTGCAGACAAGGCAGCTAATTTGTTTTTGATCTTTATAAAAAGGAAAGACTTCATTTGTTCAATGGAGTTGCTCTTTTTAATTAAAAAGGCTAGTTTTCTCATTTGCACTTTATATGAAAGTTGGCTTATAAATACATAGTAGTACATGGAGAATGCTGACCAAAAATAAACATTCACATTTGGATTGTTCACTGTTGCCTTTTTCAGTGAGGAAATGAAAGTTCTTTTGAATCCTGAATATCTGGAACATGATGCCTAGTAAGTTTTTACAACTTCCTTCACATTTAATTTACAGCTATTTGTAGTACGTTATTTAACACCAAATTTCTGTTTTTTTCCCCTTCAGTGCAATGTTCACATGTCTTATGAAAACTGCAGAACATTGGTTTTCAACTTTTGAACATGACAGTCAGAAGGTATTACTCTAAAAGCGTGCGCATAATATTTGTTAGCAAATGTGATTTTTAATTATATATTCTCTTAAACACCTTTACAAGTTGATTCAACTAATGAAGTTCCTTAGAATTTCTTCAGAATTTGGTCGTGTGAAGTTGTGGAAAGCCTCTTGGTTGAATGGGTTCTATCTGTTGAAGGAACACTTTGTAATGAAAAGTCAAATATACCTGTACAAATTCTGATGTGTGGGAGTGATGTTCTCCTGTAAATGTTTAAAAGAATGTCTGACATCGACACATCTATCGCATCTACCCAAAACATGTGCACATGCCATGTTAAATAAATGTGCATAGTTAGTGTTTAATGTATCGAGGCTTGAATTGCTTTAATTAATTGTTTTAAATCTGTTGGTCTAAATGGTCTTTAAACAATTTGCTGTGAAATCAAACCTGCGATCATAGTGTGCCTGTCATGGGTCAGGGTTCATCGTTCCCTAACCTCAGCATTTGCACTGATGTCTCTTTCTGTTGCCACTTTCTGCTGATGCTGACCCCTTCCATCTAATCCCCACCTGTAACCATTTTGTATGCATGTGGGTTTAACAATTCCCTCTGACTATTTTGCCTTAGTCAAGTGCTCAAAATTTCTCTAGAATACTTTATTTTCATGTCAGATTTAGTTCTCTCTTTTTATCACTCTCTTTTTTGTTTCTGAAAAATTATTTATGTGATTGATAGAATACATATAAAAGACCCTAGCAAAAAATAGCCATATTACAGGTGTCTGCAAGACTTGCAGTGTGTTATATCCTGGAAGAGTTGTCCTCCAAACATGGTTTCAGCTTGCTTCAGTTCAACATTTTTTTCAGTTAGACCATGGGGTGAGTGTCTGAGCTAACAGGAAATATCAGAGTGTGTTCACTAACAGATACCTGCATGTGTGTACCAAAATCTGCACTTAAAACCTAAATTAGGGAGTACTATGGGTAGATATGTCTGCCTATTGATAACAAAAAGATGCTCACCCAAGCCCCACATAAAAGCTTCTATTTTCTTTAAGCATTTAAATATATAAGTATATATATATATTTCATTAAACATGGAGTATTGTTATCTTGGCCTAAGCTATCTACATTTATAAATTACTCCTCGGGTTAGGATTTTTACATAATTGTCAGTAACTACAGATAAAACATATGAGATACAAATTTTATGAACTTATTACATAGTCACTTTTATTCTAACAACAAAGCTGTGAGACGTTACTTCGAGACTAGCTTTTCAGATTTCAGTATATTTAAATGTATTTGTTCCAATTTCTGTGACAGAGGTGGTAAAGTTTTAGTTTGAATTTTATACTGGAAATAACTAGGTCTGCCTAGAGATTTACTGCCTAGAGATTAGAGATTACAGTGCTTGGGTAGAAGATGAAAGTTTACGTTGCCCTTTCCAGTCCCTGGCAGAGCACGTGCGTTAATATCTAGTTGTTTGTTCTTGTTATTTGCAGGCATGTATAATTTTAATAATCCTGTCTTGTACATATGCCTTTTACCATCATGACTTTGAGGGCTGACTACGCAATAAAGTCTGAATCCTCACAAATGAAGCAGTGAAAGCATGTGCTCTGAGAGACATGGAACATTTTATAGCCTCTAACAGTTGGTTCCATTACTCCCAATTGCCATTAGAGGAACTTCTCCAGCTCCTGGATTCCCTAGTGGTTAATGAGAGAAATCTGTCCACATTTTATACTTGCACTATGTCCTAGCCTCCCTTTACTGCAGCAGCATTTATTTTCTAAATTCATGTATGCATAAATTGCATTAGTATGGAATACCAGCCGAATGCCAGTTCATGCTATGTTAGGCAATATTCTGCAGCAGGATTTGGTGATTCACTTCCTAATACTTCATCTAAATTTTTCAGCCGCTTTTCGCTGGTATCCATATCTAAACTGTTCTTAGAGGGGACTGTAATGCTTTTTTGTAAACGATAAAGCAGACCTCTGAGCTGTCCTTCTATTTGTATTTTATTGTACTGCCTCCCATTTCTTTGGAATTTATCATTTATTTTCCATGTTAGCAGCAGTTGATTGAAGCCATGTGTTCACGAAATGTTTTCCAAGAATTAGAAGTTCGCAGAAAGAAAACAGGTGTTTTGTCCCATGCGGCAAGTTAGGATGCAGTGAGTCTGGGGTATCGTTACGTTTATCATATGTCCACCTAGCTTCTGCCTTTTGGAGACAGACGCCATGAGTCACTTCTAGTTAAACATTTTGACTGCTTAGATGTATTAGTTTATTTGAGCATCTTTCTGTTTGGGCTATTTCTTTCACACCAGTTTGATGTGATTTTTTGGAGCAATTTCAACTGATTAAAAGTATTGTCATATTTGCTTAACCAAGTTGCCTGACATATCACAACAACCCTATCTTATACACTCTTGTCATTTCTAAAACTTGTGCAGGGAGGGTACTGAGTCAGGAGGTGCGCGCAGTTAGTACCTTTCTCATGGATTACAGCCTCCATCCCTGCAGATTCTGTCATGCTTTGAGCAATTTTGTTAATGTGGTTAATTCCTTAGGTGCTGAGGAACTGTGTTTTGATGGACACCATCTACTTATCTTATGCTTTTTAAAATGGCAAGCCAGCATATATTACGTGATGCACTTTCCCATGCTGGTAGTCAGTCAGCCTGACAGTCAGCAATGTGTCAGTGCTGCATTATGCCAAGGTGCACAAATGTTGCGAGTGACAAATAAGTCCCGTTTTGGCACTCCTCCTTAAGATGAAACTTGCATTAGTTTTGATAATCAGATTTTTTGACGCTCAAGATAGTGTTTAAAACTCTGTCATCAAATTTTGTGGAGATGGCTTTAGACCCCTGGACAGTTAATGGTGTAAGTACCAACATGGGTAACTACCCCATCTTCTCATATTGCAAGTTAAAATAGGTAGAAATGTTGTTATATTGAGATTGCTATGTAAGAATTTATGCCCATAACTGAAAAAAAAAGCCCTCAGAAATACAGGCCTTTTGGGTCATCAGTTAGAAGCACATACAGACAGCAAGCTGAAGTTCAACTCAACTGGAGTTAACCGGAATAATGCACATATCCCAGATGTTTGCCAACTGATGGAATATGCTGCATATTCAGCACAGTCTGTGAATACATAAAGTTGCAGACTTTTATGATTAGCTTCAAAAATAAATGGATATGTTCATGCAGAAAGTTATTACAGACTGGCTTTAATGTGAAGGCAATGTTATTGTATCATACCTTAAAAGTGTTTTTCTTTATATGAGATTAGAAATAATTAATGGATATTCATTTTTTAACATTTTAACTTTTGGGATGTGACCAAAAAATAATGAAATGGGCCTAAAACTATAATATGAAATAGCATACCATGGAGAAATGAAAAACAGGTTAAAATGAAAGCTGACTAATTTGGTAACTTACTTACTTCTAATCTTAGTTTAAATGGTGATCACAGGGGACATCTTACCATAATTAAGTGTGGGATAAGGAAATTTGCCCACTTTTGCTGCATTCCTCTACTTGCTAGGGGTTTTCAGAATTGACTGCATGCTCTTACCAGCCTCCTGTACTGGTTCTTTTGAATCACAGAATGACTGGAAGGGACTTTTGGAGATCATCTAGTCCAACCTCCCTGCACAAGTAGGGTCACCTAGAGCACGTTTTACAGGATTGCATCCAAACAGGTTTTGAGTATCTCCAGAAAAGGAGACTCACAACCTCTGTGGGAAACCTGTCCAGTGCTCTGTCACCCTCACAATCGGGAAATTTTTCCTGAAATTCATGTGGAATTTCCTGTGCTTCAGTTTGTGGCACCCATCTTGAGCTTGGAGGAAGTGAATGCTTGAATATTAACCAGGTCTTTTGGGCCCCCTTCCTGCTAGTGTCATAGCCCATAGGATTGCTCCAAGTATGTCTCTGAAGAGGCCAAAGTCTTCCCTCCTGAAGTCCAGTGCTGTGTTCCTACTTATCTACGTGCTTCGTCCTCGCTGGATCCTAAACTCTACCAACTCACGATCACTGCATGCAAGGCTACCCGCAGCCTTCACACCTTCAACCAGTCCTTTATTTGTTAGTACGCGTCCAGCAGCCCACCTGTCCGCATTGGCTCTTCTACCACCTGTGTCAAAAAGTTATCATCAGTGCTCAGCAGGACCTTGGGGTCTGTTTGTGCCTAGCTGGGTTGCTTTTCCAGTAGATGTCAGGGCGGTTGAAATCCCCCGTGAGAACCAGGGCTCATGTCGGAGACCAAGATCATGAGGCTACCTCCAGCTGTCTGTAGAGGGTCTCGTCGACTTCCTCATAGCAGCGCTGGGGTCGCGTGCACCATCCCAGCATGTTTCTGTAACTGCAGTTATATCATGGCCCTGGCACCGCACACACATCTCCAGGACCTCCCGTTTGCTTCCCATGCTGCCTGCATTGGTAAAGATTCATTCCAGGGAGCTTGCGGGTTTCCCACGACGGGTACCAGAGGGAGTGCAATGTGGGTTTTTTGTTGTTGTTTTTTCATGATATTGGTACTGAAATATCTGTTGACACAGCAAAACAGTCAAGATTGCCGCAGCTTCTAAGGAAGAGATGGTTTGTCTGTATTTGCTGTGGAGGACCCTTCCTCCTAGTGGCATTTGCCACTGGTTTCTGGTGGCCATACAGGCTCTTGCATTGGAGGCAACACTGGCTTCTCTTTTCTAGCTTCTTGCAGCAGGGATAGAAATCTTTTTTTCAAAATCATGAATGGATTTAATTTAATCATCCTTGTGATGGACTCCATATAAGATCACGTTTGCTTTCTCTGCATGTTTTCTGAGTTACATGCTAAGTTTCATCAACCTGTATTTTATGTGCATATGAAATGGCTCTTTTGCAAAAGTCCTTTTGTAATATTCCTTTTAATGTTTCTTCAAATGTGATTTCTTTGCACATATATCTGTGATTCACATATTCCACGTATCTGTTAGCTATGATTTCCATGATGCATTGCACTTCTGTTTGGTAGAACAGAAGGGTTCTTGAATTTATCAATAGATGCCATTTCAGGGAACTTTATTTGACAGTCTGTGAGGAAGCTTTGGTCAATTTACCAGAGTGTCTTAGAAGCTTATGGCTTGCAACCACGTTAGCCATGGCAAAACTACTACCCTGTAATGGACAGATCGGTCCCTTTGCTGCAATTGCCATAGCAAAACACCAGTTAAGTAGATTATAAGATAAAATTTATAATTGGTCAGATCCTCACATAAAAACATTTTACTTGAGATCACTGCTCAGTAACATACAATGTTTTCTGTGGTACAGAAATGAAATAATTAAGAAAGAACATTTTGGGCCAAGGAGATTGACATAAAAACAGATTTTTGATAGAAATTATTGAATATATACTGCCCACTTGAATGTGATAAATTATTCTGATTGTGAAGCAAAATATATGTAATCCTCTTTCCTCTTACAGTGCTAATACAGAGAGAATGAGGTTGAAGAGGGATAAAGCCACAAGAAACAACCTTGAGGATAGCTTATACAGCAAAAAAGTGTGTCTTTGTAACTGAATGTTAGAAATGTTCTCTTCTCTGTATTGATCCAAGTGAAGTGTTCTTTCAACAATTTTTAGGAGTAGTGCGTCTTCTGAAACTTTTAGTCCCTTGAGCTTGATAATGTTTCTCTCTTGGTGTCCTGGGTTAAAGTATAGAAAAGTAATAACTATTCTTTAGAGTGAAGCTTCTATGTTTGGGAACCATGCACAAGGCAGAATACAACAAAGTCTTTGCTCAGTCCTCTGAGTATTCCAATTTTTCCTCTTTTGTTTAATCTTCAGATTGTTTCTGATAGGTAAATTCTGTCTTTCCCCTATCTTTCTCTTAAAATATCTGTCCTGTTCCTTTTTGTGCCTCATACTCTTTTTACATACTTACTCCTCAGTTATGGCCATCTTTCTTGCTAACATTCTGTCTCTTTTTAAATATATTTCACTCTTGTACAAAAAAAAAAAGAAAAAAGAAAAAGTGAAGTCAAGTTCAAGGACTGTAGTAATCCAGTAGTTTTCACTTGTGTATGTGGTGTTATAGACCACTGCATGGTTTGCACAACCCTTGGTCCAACCAGCTGCTTTCTAATCCTTACTTCATCTACCTGTTCTATTTCTGTTGTTGTTTTAGAGATCTTATGATGCTTTATTAACATTGCCTAGCTTTTTAGGTGCAGCCACAAAATTTTCTGAGCAAGTAAACCTTGGTTAGAAAAGATTATTGGAAGAGAGATTATTTGTTGGTATGCAATTTATTGTCCTCTGAGGGCATACATCCACTACTGAGTGTACTGATGAGTACTACTCAGGTACTTTGCTTTGGACTGACTCGGGCGGCTCGTATTAAAGCAAAAATGAAGCAAATAAATGTGTCAACACTCTGTCAGAGCGTGCAAAGTAAAGCCATTTCATTTTAACTTGCAGCAGAAAGAAGGGAAGCTCAGAGCGCCTGGGGAGGGGAATCCCACGGCAGCCTCCACAGAAGTGGAGACTTGAGATTCTGCTCTTGCTGGAATTAGAAGGGGTTGTTAATGTTTTCAGCTTATTTGGAAGCCAATGATTGCGTGAAAACTACTCTCACATAATGTGACAATGAGGCTTTATGGGATGCTTATTAATATTTTTCCTGTTTTCTATGTCTGTAGGAGAGAGATGCAATGATTACGCCTATGCCATTCGCAAGGCCACAGGACGTAGGCCCATCTATTGCTATTGTAACTAAAGTAAACCAGATTCAGGATCATCTGCTGAAGAAACATGATATTGAACTGTATATGCATCTGAACCGACTGGAAATTGCTCCACAGATTTATGGACTGTAAGTATTTACAATGCATTGATTAATTTAATTCCTTCTAGCTCTGTGTTCTTGTGTTAAAACTTTTTTTTCGTGGTCCTTAACTTCAGGAGTAGAGAAATGGGGGTAAAAAAAAAAAAAGTATTTCTTATCCCTTAGAAGTTAATCAATTGGAGGAGGCAATTGCAGGAAATGAAACCCTGGTGTTTATGGCAATGGCATTACCAGTACAGATATGGTCTTTTCAGCTGCCTATTAGAGAACTTAGCAAAGATGCAATGATGAAAGAACATGCAAAATGAAGTATGTTACTATAGCTTCTATTTTTAGTCTTCCTGTTAAATAAGAAATGAAATAGGGCACAATAGGAATGGGCAAATCATTGGCATTGAATGAATGACTTCCTTAATTTTGTCACTAGTTTGACATAGTCAACTTTCAACTGTTGCAATAATGGGGTCTTGGATACAGGTAATACTGGTGCTGTGGGGCCAACTGAAAGCTGAAGCGCAGAGATATGAAAGTGACTCTTGCTGGAGTCATCTGAGGTAGTCCTTGTTGCATTAATCTGGCCCAGGTCTGTTTAGGTGCCTCAGCAATGTGCTCCCTCTTCTAGGAGGCCTTATTAGGGCGACTTTGCATAAGGCCTGTCCCCAAAGGCTTGCATAGCATTGTATCCAAACCATCGTGGTGGTTCTGCTCAAGCTGGATCGATAGCCAAGGCTGCAAGTTGCGTTTAACATGTAATGATGAATTGATGGGTTTTTGAGAAAGAGTTTTGCCTTCTTAGTTTAGAATTCTAGATATACAATTCACTTTGATCATCATTTGTTAAAGATTTCGCAAGCCATATGTATGAGCGCGGTGACAGGAAAATGTGAGTTTTCAGAAAAAAAAGTAGTTTTCTAACTTTTTGCCATGACTTAAAATTAAAGTATGCTTTGTCTTAAAAAAAATAAAAAGAAGTTTTATTTGTAGTTGTGAATTTCCAAGTGTAATTGTGAATTACATTCAACAATTCTATAGAAGCTACAGAAAGGAAGGGAAAATGAGACTCTGAATGTTAGGGCTCAATTGCAACACTTAAAGCCTAATTTGATATCATAATAAAATGGAAAAATACAGAGATATAGTACACCCTCTAAAAATGAGTTGAACTGAGAATAAGTAGTCATCTTAGACTTGCAAATAATGTATATTTAGAAGACAAACTAGGCTGCTTTTAAAAATATCATTATTCAATAATTTTGTATTTACATTTACATTTGGGTTTCAGGTAAGTTTAGAAAAGTTCCTAAGGTAATTCTACACAATTTATTTAAATAGTTTTGATATAAATGGGCTACAGGTAGAGGAAGAATATACAGAGTAAGAATAAGGTAGTAAAAGTACAAAGAAGACAGATTATCCTGTTAGTGTGTGTTTTGCATAATGTACGGTTGTGTATTTCTGTAATATCTTCACTAATCTGGAAGAGATGGCAAATGTCACTAATGAACTTCATGGGTGGTAATAAATTGTAGGCACTATAGATACCAAAAAAAACCAAAAAAAGGTAGTGTTTCTGTTTTATGAAGGCTTATGAAAATACACAGAAAATAAAGATAAATCTCCAAAATTTGCAAACAGTATTTTGGGGCAAAACTAATTTGTACTGTAGGTATTCGCATCAGTATAGCTGTATTTTGCCTTTCAGTAAGGGAAATAATTGAAAGAAAAAATAGACTTTAGTTCAAAACATGACATTTTAACAACAGAAGAACAGTGCAGTCTGGTATGGCATAAATAGAAGAACTGAGTCTGAATAAAGAAATTTACAGTTAAGGGAATGAATTATGAGAGAGAGCTTCAGGCTGACTATCAGCAAAACCTTACTAACAGGGAGCTGTTAGACTGTAAAATAATATATCAAAATTAACAAAGGGAAAGCCATCAGAATATTTTAAAGCTAGGCTTTGAAAAGCTCTCAGAAATAGATAGTATCAGAGAGAACAAGTCTGCACTGGCAAAGGAGGGAAGTAGGTTGCCTGTGAGGTCATATCTTTCTCTGATTTCTGATTTGATACAGAGGACAGGAGAAAAAGTAAGAGACAACATGACTGTGTTGTATTATTTGCACCTTTAAAGCTGTCTGGAAGCTTCAGAATACTAATTTCTGGTAGTGAACCAGCTGACAGCCTCAAATGTTGGGTCTTTTCCTGTATTTAACATTTCTTGAACTAGGACAGCATTTCTATTTCCCTTAAGCCTAATGGGCTATTAATAATTGCTAAACATAACCTAAGGACAGAATACATGTGAGCTTCTTGTCAACTTTTTTTTTTCTGAAGTTTTGGGGGTTTGCTAGCAGTATCCATTTGCCATCCTTCATATCACTCTGATTATATGATAGAAGGAAGCCTGGGAACTTCACTCAAAAGCGATTATGGAGTTAGAGGAGAAGGATATCGGTCTTCCCTCTGGTCTGAACAAGGTATATAGTTTATGTATTTTAAAATACAGTATTTTATACCTTGCATGTTTATACCTTGCTACAGAAGGTAATAAAAGCAACTCCTTTATACTCTTTGTATTTGCAGAGAGTTGATTTCGATCTTTGATGTTTACAAATACCGTAGTCTTTTTATTTTTATAGTAGTAGGGAGATTTGTTCTACCGCTATGTCAGGTATCCCAGTCTGTTGTATAATTTCATGTTCAGAAACTGTCCTTTGAAATAATATTTTGTTACAAGCTTCTTGAAATTAAAGTTACTTGCTTAGAAGATCAGTTCTAACAGGCATTTCTGTGCTTGTGGTGTGATTCATTAATTTTGCTTGATACACAATGGTGCAAAGACTTTATGCCTTTTTTGTGGAAAAGTATGTATATTATAGTATTTATTGCATCAATATTAGAAAGTTTTTTTTTCCTCTCTCGATGAGTTATTTGCGAACCGTGCTGTCACTGTCTGTGGCCGTGTGTACTAGACTGGCAGTGCTACTGATATGAAAAAATTCTTCTTTTCTCTTAATTTCTGTTTTGTGACATATTTTATCTCAGGAGACTAGTTTCTTTACCATTAAATGGATGACATCAGTAAACAGACATCGTGTTATGGGATATCTGAATTCATTTCATCGTCCAAAAGAAAACACCGTTTGGTGTAGTAAAGTATATTAGTATCCTGGCTAAGCAATACTTTTGCTCTGTAGTGGTGCAACTTGGTGTTACAGCCGGTTGGTGCCTCAGCACAGGAGTTTCTGTGACTGATAATTCTGTGAGACCACAAATCTGCTCGCCCATTGTCAGCCTTTGCATATCCTTGTGATAATTAACCACAATTAATATCGGCAAAACGGAACCTGCAATACAGAGATGAAAGACTTAGTGTCTTATCATTCTTAAGTATTTTATTTGCCATGTCTCTGTTGTGTTTTTAGATCCTAAGATAATGTGCTGTGGAATAACACTGTTTAATGTTCCAGGTAGCAATGAGAAATATGCGTAGTCTAACCAAACTATAATAATTATCCAATCATATCTAATTTTCAACTTTGTAAAGTAAAACATAAGAATGGTTTAAAAATAAAATGGAATTGATTACATTAACATTTCAGTGACGTGCCTCCTGGTAATAATTTTTTCACTAAATAAAAATGAAAAAAGTGAAAATTGAACAAAAAAAATAGATACTATGGAAGGCTGACAGATGGAATATTTGGTTTAATTGTAAAATTAGATGAGTTAACAATGATTAATGTCTTGGATTAAATGGTATTCTAGTGTTAATTTATTTGACCCTTACATCTAATTCATGTTAAAGTACAAAATAATCATTGCAAAATCATTCTGCAGTTTCTGCACCGGCCAGTGTTTGCCGTGAGAAATTAAGCAGATTGTATTCTCAGCTTGGGAAGGAAGAGGGTTTGAAGAAATGCTTCATATATCCATATCTTAGGACACTTTTTCCAATATCAGTAGTATGTAGTGGACTTTCTTTTACATTTCATTTAAAAGATGAGTAAATTGGAGGAGTCCCACATAATACTTTTATAACTATTTTACCTACTCAGCATGACAAAGTGAATTGTATTCATATTGCATCACATTACATCCTCATACATACTGATGGATCATGTAAAAAATATATATATATATTTATAAAATATGGCTGTATAGAAAAAATACACTCAAAGATAATGGCAAGGCATAAATGTGAAAAGCTTTATGAACAAAGCTTAGCTGCTGGCATAACCTCCCTGCCTCCTGCATCGCCGCACGGATGGCAGATTGCATGCTGGTGTTATATTGGCTAAGCAAACTCTTCCTAAGCACATACCTCCCAGACACAAGGCGAGTGCAGAAGTGAGTGTAAATATTTCCTCTTAGCTTAACCTCAGTACGAGAAGGATCTTCTTTGGGCTGATGCCGTTGCTTCCCACTGCTGTTCTATTTTGTAATAATCAGCCAGTTAAGATTGTGGTTCAAGACTGTGGTTCCTTCAGTCAGCGCGGGAAGAAACCTGCACCATGTAGGAAAGAAAAGCAATTTAGAGCGAAGGATCCAAACTACTTTGGAGGGTACCTGCCTAGTCACAGGTGAGGACTGGAAGTTAGCATTGGGAACATGATGTTGAAGGAAAGTCAACAGCAGATGTGATGCTCCACTGCTGGCAAGAGTTGCTTTGCTCTCAGCACTACTGCAGGGCATCCACTTGTTTCTCTCTTGGCCATTTTGGTACCGGGCAGTATCTCTCTCTGGAGGGAGGAGTTAAAGGATTTTACAATTGCAGGAATGTAAGTGGCATTCATCGTATCTAGAAAAACCTGCCCCGGGTCATCCCAATGAGGAGTAATCTTTGTGACCTCCAGAAGAAAATGACCATGGAGATCAGTGTTGCTAAGGAGAAGCTTCCAGATCAGCCACTACTGAGTTTATTTTGGACTCTCACACTTGACAAAAGAAAGAGAAATAATATATGGCATGATCCAAACTAATTACGGTTCCTATGTATTTTTTAATCCAGTGTCATCAATTAAC